TTACAATAAGTTTGTTATTATTAAAAACCTTTAAATCTAAACCATAAAAAAGAAAATTTGGGGTCTTGAATATTGTTATTATGTGTGGAGAGTTGAAATTTTATCCAAAAGGGATGTCTTCCGTCTACTACTGATAAGATTAATTATTTCTGCAAGTATATTTGTGAAACACATATTAAATTTCATCGAAAAAGTCTAGCAATAATTATCATTTTTGGAATAAAAAAAAATGCATATTAAGTGTCAACTGAAATTTTGAAAATAATAAAATATATCTTCTTTTGTTGCTGTTTTAAACATAAATTGTAAGAAAAAAAATAATACCATTAGGAGCCATAAATATCGTTAACATTTCATTACATTTGAAATCCATAGAGGAAATCTTCTAATAACCATATCGAATTTTATGTCTACAAATACATTTGCTAATACACATATTAAGTTTTATTGAAAAATCTAGCAGTAAATATCATTTTTGCTACGACAGAATCTAACAGCTTTATTACTTAGTAAAAAATACATTTTTAAGTACCCAACTGTAGTTATTGTGCAAAATAATATATAAAATTGACAGAATAGCAAATGTTTGGAGAAATTAGTTCGAATCTCTTAAACAATGTGCTTGTATTTTCAACAAAACAATTTAAAAACGAAGCTATTGGGAATGATTCTAATGGGAATGAAAATATGCGTTATCAATAAACAAACATACAAAATTTGAATACATGAATAAATAAAACTATAACAGTTAAAAATAAAATAAAAAATTTGACTACATGCAATGTAAAAGTTTTAGTTTATCTGAGCAGCAAATATGGTGGTAAATATATTTTTATTATTCACTATTTTTAACAGTGCATTATATGAGGCTCTAGCTATTTATTATTAATAAATAAAAGTACTTCTCATTTATTGTGTTTATATTTTTGTATTTTATAAAAAAAATTATCGTGTTTTTAAAAATGATAAAATATTTAGAAGAAGAAACAATGGTGAATGAGGAGCGATCATGAGAGTTGGTGAGCGGGGCGAGCAGGGGGTGGAGCCTCCTAATCCAAAAATTGTCATGCGAATAAATAAGAAATGTGTCCACTCCCAACTGCAATGCATTGGTAGTATCGACTATCCATTCACCAATTATGTTATTGGACATCGACATAGGAAGTGGAGACCAGAAGCGGTGTTTCCATAGTTCCAGTTTGTGTTATAACTATGGAGATGGAAAGCAACAACCTGATTGTTAAAGTAGTCTCTAACATTTTTATCATAGAGGTCCCAAATCAGGGGAGGGGATGAGGTCAGTCTGATTATTTTTTGTCAAGCTCAAACCCCTTTGTATTTTTCGAAAATAAATTTGTAGAGAAATGTGGAGTAAGGCCGGGTAGCTAAGATTCGAAAAACTGTTGGAGCTAAGCTGTTCGACCTAGAAATTTTGTGATTTTATTGAGGTATCCATTGTTTAGTCATGTTCAATATATAATTCCTAAAAAGTCATACATGAACAATTTTTTTTATAAACGACTTTTTTTTTCTTCAGAAAAAGTCAAATCAACCGATCTTACCCCACTAGTGTAGTACACACGTTAACTGTATGGGAAATTTAAAGATACTATAATTTCAATGAAACAGTAGCAGTCATTTCTATTTTACATGACCATTTAAGGAAATTATATGATGCAGTCAAAGTTATACTCAGCGGGAGGAGGGGGTACATTTGTCCCAGGTCTTATGGTCGACCAGAACCAGACAGAAATTCCTTGCAAAAAATACAAAGTTCATTAATTAGCTTTTTTAAAAAAGAAAACTGCAAAGAATTTTTTTGTCTGCAAAAAATTAGCAATTTTGTATGAAAGGTCTATAAAAAATGAAAAAAAAAACTTTAAAAAAATATAAAAATAAGGCTTTTTGAGCTTTCAAGAAAAGGCCAGAGATAACGTTTATCCTGACGCTTGCAAAACCTTTGTTCAGCCATAGATGTAGTTATCTTCTTCCTCCGCTGCACTGCACTAATCTCGGACCCAGCATAGACACATGTCAAGGGGGGGGCGAAATCAGGAAACAGATGATAGAAGGCTAATGTGGACATTGAGCTAGTGTGAACATTGAGCTAGTGTCGACATCCTGAGTAAACTTTTTACTTAAGAGTAAAATTTCCTTTGTGAGATATCGTAGATTGGTAGCATTGATGTATGTGAGCCAAAAAAAAAACGGATCAACCTTAACAGCTTTTGATCTAATGATCGGATATTCATGTTTTAAGTTTTAATCTTAATAATTAGAGGAGGTAACCTAAAATATGCTAATTAATAAGTGCAAACGACATTTAAAGTCACGAAATCAGATTTAAAGAAACGTACTTTCTCTGAATAAACATACCTTTTTTTCAACGGATTCGGATTTCTGATCCCCAAAATATAGGGAGTAGCCGCAATCTGAGGAATATGGTCCCCATAGGTTGGTCAGGAGAGCGATCCAAAGTTATGACTCCATAATGTTAATTTTACTTTTTGCGTATTTCACCATCTCGAAAACTTTTTAAGTGAATTGAAAATTTTTGCACACAATTATAAAATTCGGTCATCCAAGATCATCCATTCGGTCAATTATAAAGGTCGGTAATTCTATGCAAGAAACAAATTTTTTAAATATTTATTGTTTTTTATTACATTTAATAATAGTCGAAAAAAATTTTAATTGTAATTTACACAATTTCTTACAACATTTTAAAGTATGTAATTTTACGTGGCAAAATACAAAATTTGAGCGAAATTGGTTGAAAAGTTCCTGTGAATTCCAATTTTAAAAAAGTCGTGAATTTAAAATTCGATTTCTCAGAAACCCTTCGACCGATTTCACTCAAATTTTGTATTTTTCCGGGTAAAATTCAGTAATCAGAGTCCATTGCACAAAAAGGTAAGTTTCTTCAGAGAAAGTGCTTTTCTGTTTTATTTCGTAACTTAAAATATCATTTGCACCAAATGATAAGCATATTTAACGTCACCCTCTCGAGCCATTCAGTTTGAGTCCCAGAACGTGAAGATCCTGTCAGTAGATCAAAAGTTATTCAAAATAGTCCGTTCTTTCTTCTTTTTTTTGGCACACTCTACATTTGCATGAGCCATCGAATAATCAAACTATGAATATTTTCATGAAAATTTTGCAAAATAAGATCTTTAAGTTGCAAAAGTTTTTTTTAAATTTTTTACAAAAAGTAAAAAATGGAAAGAAACAGTGTACTATTCTAAGTTTAATTTATTGGGACAAATTTGAAAAATTGTACGATTTCAAAACATCTATGATTTCGTTTGTTCCGTGCTTATCTATTATGATAAAAATTTTGTACAGATCTCAAAATCTGTGCTAAACCAACTTTGTTTACTTAATGTTATAGTAATGGGATTACCTAGTATGTTCTACTCTATATTGATAGTGTACGGTGTTTTCCTTTAGTATCAATAAACACATTTAACTATGAAGACATTTTGGAGCTGGCTCCTTGGATTATTGTAAATATGCATAACTGCTTTTTTGGTTTGTTGATCTATACATTTAATAACACATTTTAATAATTTAAATAATAATACTTACATGCGTGCAATTCATCTTACAGAAGCGGCACTGCAAAACATTTCACAAGTCCTCAATTGGATTAAATCCAGTAAATTTCCATGTGACGCTTGCAACATTATTTTAGTTCCTAGTAGGAATTTTTTCCCCCTTTTGAACAATTTCAAAGAACAAAATCTTAATTAAGTGTCCAGCCGAATGAATGTCTATTCACTTAAGTTCCTGAATAGGAGATACAGTTTCTTAGTTACTGTACTACTCGCAAGTAAGATAATTACGTTTTCTTATGGGAAAAAAATTATCCCCCGAGAATGTCCTACTTCCCTTTAAAGCATGAACCAGGATGACTGGTGAGATGCACCTATCGTATTTCATCGGTGAAGGCTAAAATTCCGGCAATAGTTATTGATATTTATCATCACACTGGCAACAGTGTAGACAAAAAACATATCTAGTAGCAGTAAACGTATCATGAAACGTGCACTGTAAGAAATGCTACGATTTTTTTTGGCAAATTTCGGTATATTTTTCTCATCACCGTAGTTGTAACAAATAACAGCATTTTTGCTGAGAAATCGGCAGTTTTTTCTTCTTTTTTTAATGTGAGCTAAGTAACCAATTATAGCTAACACTGAAGTGGGATTATTTGCTTCCATTTACTGTCAGTTTTAAAATATTCGACATATTTACCTTTGTCTAACAATATAGAGTTTGAAAAAAGTTAAAGTAAAGTAAAAGTTAAAAATGTACATAATATGAAGCTTTTTTTTTATTTTGGAAGTAATATGAGCTGAACACCAATTAAAATCTGTTAAAGCGGATGGAGTCCCAGGTTTTTAAGCAAATCTTTAATTTTTGAAGCTAGAAAACTTTTTAGCCATGTTTAAATGGAAAAAGAATACTCATTAATTTTAATTAGTATAATAGAATGAACATAGTTCAGTAGAACAAATGTCCGAGAAGGTTAACTAGATTGTCAAGTGAGTTTTTTCTAATTTCTATCTAGTATATTTTAATATTAATTGTGTCAAACGTAATGACTTTATTCGCAATATAACCCAGTAACAATGTACGGAGTATATGCTGTAATCTTGCCTAACAAATTTAAGCTTTTAACTTTTCAAAATGATTAAATTTCTGTGCGGAAAACTAATAAGTAATGTTTTTAAATTTAAAATTACACAGTAGATAGTTATAATATTAACAGAATTCTTACCCATTATTATTTGAAGATACTATATATTTCTATTTTATATCCTTATTTCATATGAATTTTATGTAAAATTCTTTTGTTCCAGCTTCCATAAACTTAGATTTTTACTTTATTCAATTGAATGTCTACAGCTTTGAGAAAAATTTTAGTTGTTTGCATTGTTGGTATATTTAATAGTTTACTTTTAACACATGTTCAACATGTTTTTCCTCTCCATGTTATTCAAATGCAAATAACACTCAAAAAAGTTCTATAAATTGAATAGTCAATTAAATAAAATACTAGTCTAAAATACTAGTCATAAGCAAAAAGCTAAGTTTTCAAAAAAAAAACCTAAGAGATGGCGAATTGTTTAGTTTCATTTCAGCTATCACTACTTCTCTTTATCATTGAAATACAATAAGCTTTACTGCAGCAAATTTACTTTAGGCAATATTGATAACTTCACTTTACTTCATATTATATAATTAATGATAGTCTTGGACAAAAACGTCGAACTTTTTTTCAGAATAAAAAATTCTGAATGGAATAATCATCTGAATGGAATAATCGCCAGATATTTTGCTTCAATATCACAAAAAACGCATTGTTTTTTTATGGAAATATGAAAGAGATGACGAGTACAAAGATCTTTTTAATTTTAGTCTGCATGACTAATGGATATTCATTACTTATCTATCATTACCCATAATATTAATGAATTTTAATGTCGAATTGTATAGTTTTTTCTTAAAAAAAAAGCATATGAAACCTTTTTATTATGTAGTTTTCATCGACCGAATCGCTTAGATACATTAGCTAATGGTATATTGATGGAATTTTCTTCTTCTCTTTATACATTTATTTACAGTTAAAGAATTAACGAATTCTTTTAATTAAAAAAAGAAAAAAATGAAAGCGACATGGGGAAACAAAATATAAAAAATGAATGAGAAAAAGTTGCTCAAATAACTTTTTAAAGTAAAATGCAGATATTGAAGTTCAGAGAACATTTAGAGAAGAATGATACGAACCACGGACAACATCACTTTAACAATGTTATTTACAAAGTTATACAATTCTAGAAATATTGTTGAATTATTATACGCATTACTTTTCTCAATGCTTAATATTGCGAGTCTTTTATAAAATCCAATTTTCCAAAATAACCATTGTTTTTTCTTAATTCAGTTGAGCTGCATGCATTTGTAAGTTTTCGTTACTGACGCTACATCACTTCAAAAATTGGAGACTAATCGTAAGGTTGGCTCGTTGACCTGGCTGGAGACAGGCTTAAGGTGGGTTGACACGATCAAAGTACTTTGATCAAAGTAAGCGCGCGCATTCACCAGTAGGGAAATATTTTTAGGGAAATGTGACGATTTAGAAGAAGTTGTTTTTGTTTACAGGGAATATGTTTATTTTGAACCTTTTTTTCAAGAAATTTGGACGTATTAGTAGGATTTGAAAACTTCTCTATATTATCGGGTAAGTGAGAATTTCTTCGTTTATAATCAACTATATGTGCTTTTAAAATGAATATTACGTTTTCTATTTTAAATACTACTAATTATATCACATACTAGTATACGTTGTACTAATGTATATATGATATTTTTGTGTATTTAATTGATTATGAGAAGTATTTCTGAACTGAATGATCTGAAATAACCACAAAATTTGTATTCCATGCCTAATAGTTCATTTATTCCCGATCTGTTTGTGTATTAATAATTTTTATTAAAGTTTATAAAACATTTAGTTTATAAAATATATATAGAAAATTACTTTTTTTCAGCTCTATCATTTTATAGTATAATTTATTGCTTAACTTTTATTACTGTGTGGATATTAATACAGATTATTTTCTGTCAAAATTTTATATAAGTAATTGTTGTTTTTGGTTACTTTCTGTCTATATTTAATTAAAGAAAAATTGCTTATAGAGAAAATTTTGTGTCATGATTAGTGTGGAATTTTAAAAACATGGAGATCCATATGTCTCATTTAGGAATTAGATTAGTTGTTAATTCTATATTAAAATTCAGTTATTTTAAATTTTTATGCAACTCTAGCTTAATATTAAAATCTTTTTATATTGGTTTGATCTTTATACAAATTTGCTTGAGAGTTTCAAAATGTCTGTTTGTTTGACTTTATCTTTTTTGCCAAATGTCTTATGTTTTATTTACTCTAGCTTACTTGACACTAAAATTGTTTCATACAGAGAATATCTTATTTCCATGCATAATAATTTAAAATTATTTCCATGAGGTTTCTTGATGAACTTTAGAAAGTTTTGTTGTTGAATAAAAATGTTTAATATTTCTTTAGTCAACTTCATTTTGGACTGTTCGTGATGCTTTATGCTATGCTACAGTTATTAAATTGAAATCCTATGGACTTGCTTGTATTTCTATTTACTTATGTAATAGAATAGTAAATTTTTTTTTGTTCAAAGTTACATTACTTGCTCTAAGAAAGAGCAAAAAAATTTTTCTTTTTCTCTTTCCGGAAGCATACGATATGCAAAATCTTAAATAATTTGATTAAAATGTGCTAGTTTTACGAACATAGATATAATACTTAATATATAATATAAAGTGTGTTCTCTAAATACTGCTTTTGATATGTATTTTAATAATCCTTATCAGAAAGGAAAACAAAAAATGTGTATGTTACAATTAGTACAAAAGTATGGGGAAAACATATGCACTATTGAAATCTGACTATTTACAGTTAAAAAATGTAATGTAATTAACATCAAAACAGGTTTAATTGGGTGTTGAAACTTGAAGATGTGTTTTTTATACAGTCAAATGTGTCTTGTTGTATATTTTTTTTGTCTTCCAGAAAAGTGATTTGTCATTTTTTGACTGTGTTTTTTTTTCCTTCCTTAAATACTAGTTCGCTAATACTAATTTTTTGATAAGGTATTTGAAAAGACATATTAAGAGCAATCCTCATGAAATACCACATATATAGCCTATGTCTCATTGTGCTTATCAAATTCAAGTTTTGTCAAAGTAAATTAAAAATTTTAATCTATGCATTTTATAAATATTGTTTTAATATTAATGAAGAGTTGATACTAATTTTGTTACTTGATTGCTAACTTCATTCTCCTAAAAAATATACAAATTGGAAGTAACAGTCAGCACAATTCAAGTGCTCATTAATCGGCAATTTATTTTTGAGTAGTAGGAAGTTATTTCTTTTCAAATTTAGTAAAGCAGTAACTGTATTTTGAGCATAGTTTAAATTTATTTATTATTTTTTCTAAATGAATATTCAATAAAGACAGTTAAATTTTATGTGGTGTAGTCCATTTTGAAACACTACTATTACTTTTAAACAATTTTACTGAAATATATTAAAAAATTAAGAATTTTTTTATGTTTGAAATTGTGTTAGAATTTTGTGTAAATTTTAAGGGGGAGTAGTCGAAATTGTATTAGGAAAAAGTTTGATATTATTAGTTGATTGTATTAGTTGACAGCGTAGCAAATGTTAATCACTAATTCTGTAGAAGACACAAAGAAATCGAATGATAATGATGTAAAAGTATAAAAAAATTAAATCAATTGTAAAGAAGAGATTTATTAACCTTTTATTTATTTATTATTTTTTTTAAATACTTTTAAATAATGTATTTTTATCTCTTATAGGTTGACAGAATTTATTCTTCATCTCCTCTTCTGCATTTAAAATAACCTGTATTGTATCACAGCCGGAAATAATTACAAGCTTTCATTTTCTAAAAACCATACACAGAAGTAGAAAGAGCAGTAGTGAAAGTGTTCTGAGGAAATTTTTTTGACCTTAGGGAACTTTTTTAATCATTCAGATCTTTTTATCTTAACTTACTTAATTACCTTAATTTATCTTAATCTTATCAGGACTTTTATAATCTTAATTATGTATTAGTTATTTCTGTTCTAAAAAGTTTTGGGGGTTATCGTGATAGCAATTTTTGAAAAAGAAAAATTTCTTGTACAGGGTCTTTTATTGGGTTAATAACATTTTACTGTGGCCTATTCAAAATTGTTATACAAAAGTTTTTAAATATTTTCTAAACATTAAATCTGAGAAAATTTGCTATTATATATTCTTTGTAGATTAAAATTCAAATTATATTTTTATTATTAAACAGATTCTATCTTTAAATGTAAACTTCTTCTAATTGTTTTATATTGTAAAATTTTAATGTTGATACTGCATAATGCATATGCATGTTACATAAGGTATTTATAAATCTTTGTGACAGTTTTCTGCAATCTTTTTGTTCTTATTCTCTTCTTTTTAAGTACTAGAAATTGGGCGATTCCACGAAAAGTGGTCCTGAGTGACTAAATTTTCAAAATTATCGTAAAATCAAAAATGACACAATTTCGGAATCTAGAAGATGTACATTTTTTAATAGTTAAGATAGTTTTTTGAATTACAAAAAATATTTATGTGAATTCTAACAAAAGGTGGAACACTATGAATTTTAACAGGAGTTCTCTTCTTTGTTATGTTATATTCCAATGGAGTTCTTAAAATATTAAAGAGCAATAAAATAGTTTTTAGTAATAAATATAACTATTTTACTCTTTTATCATTGTTTAATGTATTTTTTTAATTTGGCCTAAATTTTTTTGCTTGTTTGAAAGTCGATTAATCAAGATAGTCTAATTTCCCAGTAACACACGTAACATAATTTTGCATTTTTTTCTGTAAAAACTTTAGTAAAAAAGAAAATTTAAAAATTTTTTGTTTTATAAATTAAGAAGGCAAGATATGCAACGGAAAAAATTCTCGAATTAAAACTGCCAATAGTTAAAATTTTATAATTAATTTTATTCAAGGTAACACACGTAACGAAAAGTTACGCGCGTTACTGTTATGTGTGTTAGAGGTACTTATACACTTTAATTATTTAT